GCCTTGCCTTGTCATGCACTCTCTTCCTATGACAAGTACCTTAATGTCAGAACACGGCACTGATATTTCATAATGATCCGTTTCTAATGACAACTCCTACCTTATGCGTTATTCAAAGTCACCCCTCTTCAACTCCCTCTTTCATTAAAGTCAGATCAAATTTTCATTTACTTCAGAGATCTTTTGTATTTCAACAGAATGAAATTTCAAAGAAAAATTATGAAAATTAACGTTTGCAGATTCCAAGTTCGATTTTGCATTTCAGAAACAGTGTGAAGGATGTGAAGACGCTTCCTGGGGCAGACATTGACTCTGACCACAACTTGCTGGTTGCCAAGTTCCGAACCAGGTTGAAGAAAATTATAGGATTTCGAAAGCGCAGACCCAGATGGGATTTGGAGAAGTTATATGCTCAAAGACAAAGCGTGCAAGAGACTCTAGAAGAGAAACTCGGTGCAATTGAAGGTGAAAGCGGAAATGCTGAAGCGCAGTGGAACGATATAAAAGAATGCATGTTAGATACTATCAGTGATTTGGTAGGTAAAGTTGAGAAGATAGCAAGAAAACCATGGGTTACACAGGAGATGATGAGTAAAATGGAGGAGCGAAGGAAATGGAAGAATGTCAACAATGAAGAAGGCAGGAGGAAATACAGGAGACTGAGGAATGAATTGAAAAGAGCCACGGACAGGGCCAAAAAGGAATATCTTGAGAAGATATGTAATGAGATTATGGAATTTCAAAGAACAGGCCGTTATGATTTGATGTACATGAAGACAAAAGAACTAGGATGGAAAGAGAATCATGGGATTCAAAATGTTGGCATCGAAGACTCCCAGGGGAATAGAATAGTAGATCAGAGGCAAGTGCTGAAAATTTGGGAAAATTATATTTCAGAACTATATGATCGACCTAATCGGCCAGAAACCTTAGAAGTTGAACCGGAAGAAGAAGTAGATACAGACGAGAAAGGACCATATATTTTACAAAGTGAGGTGGAAAAAGCTATCAAGGAAATGAGGAAGGGAAAGGCTACAGGAGATGATGATGTACCTGGAGATGTGCTCAAGTTACTGGGAGAAGGTGGTTTGAAAACACTGACAAAACTAATGAACACCATATATGAAAGTGGAGAGTGGCCCAAGGACTTTACAGAAGTTACAATGATTGCCTTAAAGAAAAAGACAAAAGCTACAAAATGCAGCGACCATCGCACAATAAGTCTTATTGCACATACAGCAAAGATAATAGCAAAGATACTTAAAAGAAGAATTGAAAGGAAAATAGAGGATGTACTTGGAGAAGATCAGTTTGGATTTAGAAGAGGAAAAGGAACCAGGGATGCAATTGGGATGATGAGAATTATAGCGGAACGAACTTTGGAGATAGATGAAGAACTGTGTGTTTGCTTCATAGACTGGCAGAAGGCATTTGACCGGGTAAACTGGACCAAATTAATGCAGATCCTGAAAGAAACAGGTATCGATTGGCATGAAAGAAGATTGATTAGCAAATTGTACATGGATCAGAAAGTTAGAGTACGACTGGACAGGGGGGAGACAGGAAGTGTGCAGATTGGAAGAGGAGTTCGACAAGGATGCTGTTTATCACCAATTCTGTTCAACTTGTACAGCGAATGCCTTACCAAGGAAGCTCTGGATGGGCTCGGTGACTTCAAAGTAGGAGGGCAAATTATTCAAACTGTGAAATATGCAGATGACCTTGTGTTAATGGCTAAGGAAGAAACTGTGCTACAGGGCATGATTGATAGACTAATTGAAATTGGAAGGTGCTATGGCATGGAAATGAATGTGGAGAAAACAAAAGTAATGAAAATTTCGAGACAACCAACCCCAGTCACAATAAAGATAGACCAAAAACAACTGGAGAATGTGAAATGTTTTAAATATTTGGGTAGCTTGTTAACAGATGATGGAAGGTGTACTTGTGAAATTAAATCCAGGATTGCCATGGCAAAAGCTGCATTTAGCAAGAAGAAGAATCTTTTTACCAGCAAATTGGACTTAAATTTGAGGAAGAAACTAGTGAAATGCTACATTTGGAGCATAGCTCTGTATGGGGCTGAAACATGGACACTTAGGGCAGTAGATCAGAAACATCTGGAAAGTTTCGAAATGTGGTGTTGGAGAAGAATGGAGAAGATCAGTTGGACCGATTATGTGAGAAATGAAGAAGTGTTAATTAGAGTCAGTGAGCAGAGGAATATCCTACATGAAATAAGAAAACGGAAGGCTAATTGGATTGGTCATGTTTTACGCAGAAACTGCCTTCTAAAAGAAGCTATCGAAGGAAAGATAGATGGGCGGATAGAAGTGACAAGAAGACGAGGAAGAAGACGTAAGAAGATGCTGGATGACCTTGGGGACAGAAGAGGATACTGTCATTTGAAGGAGAAAGCCCTAGATCGCATTAAGTGGAGGAATTGTTTTGAAAGAGACTGTGGACCTGTCGTCTTGACAGATTACTGATGATGATGATTGTCAGTGGTGAAGGCTGTCAAATGCCTGTGCAGATGCGCCTTGACGAAAGAAGGAATATCTGGAAACTAAACATAAAATACGGGCCCTATGATACAGTTGTTATTTCGTTTAGAATCCAGTGGTCACACCGACCACTTAGACCGATATTTCACATAATATTCTCCGCCTTTTTGAGTAAAATTCGGAAACAGTATTTGCGAACAGGCCACGATATTTTCCTCTACTTCCTTCCAAGATCACAACTAAACTAGTTGTATTTACCTCCGCGGCTAGCACTGCAAAATTATGTAAACTAAGAAATAGACTTACACTCATATCCCTGTGCAGTATTACTTAGATAATATGCACGGCTTAGGCTCTATGTGTTATGGAGAAACAGGAGCGAGATACTTCAGAGACAGAAAAGTTGAAATAACCTACAGTGTATGTCTAAACAACGGTTTACTGAAGTCGGTATAGCGACTGGCTACGTGCTGGACGACCGAGGGGTCGGAGTTGGAGTCCTGGTGGAAGCAAGAATTTTGTCTTCTCCATGTCGTCTAGACCGGCTCTGGGGCCCACTCAGCCTTCTATACAATGTACCGGGGGTATTTCCCCGGGGGTAAAGCGGCTGGGAGCCGGTCACGGTAGCCAAGCGTTCTAAGGCATGCACTGTCTTCGCTCGCTCGGAAGCCGGGATCGTGGGTTCGAATCCCACTCAGGGCATGGATGTTTGTGTGCGTTTTTCTGTGTTTGTCTACAGGCAGAGGCCTTGCGACGAGCTGATCACTCGCCCAAGGAGTCCTGCCGAATGTGTAAGATCTAGAAAAACCGAAGTGAACGGAGTTCATGGAGGTAGGCCTAGGCCCACTGGGGCTGTCGTGCCAAGGAAAAAAAAAACGGCTGGGGCATGAAACTGACCACTCACCTCCAGCCAGTGCTGAGGCCAAGAAAATGTGGATCTATACATCCTCTCCCCCATACGTCTTCATGGCGTAGTGCTTAATAAGTTACGCACAGGGACTTTATGTTCTTTACCTTACAGATCGACAGGACGAAGTAGGACGCGTTGGATGTAGGATTTGGAGGCAGGCACAAGCAATGCTTTGCTGAACCAATAAAGATAAAATAACAAGAATAACATTGCCCATTTTCGTCTAGAGGACGGGCGTGACCTTACAATCGTCCCTGCTTCCAGTAGGAGCTCACGCTTTCTTCGGGCAGGTCCCTGAATAAACTATAATTATTTACTTAATATCTGTCTTAAATGTTTACCAGTAACGTAGTACATAAGAAAGGAGAGGCAAAAAGAACGAAGTCAAGTATGGTAATAAATAATGCTGATTCGTTAAAGAAGACAAAGCGTTACCTCAGCTTTTAACGGTTCTACCTGTTTATTTTGTAGGGGACAGAAGACACGGACGTAATGTTTGAAACATGAACAGTTGAACAAAGAAGAGAAAATAAAAGGCATTTTTCTCTAATTTATACTCTCGAATTGCTCAAATTGAACATGGATGAGCTGCCATTATGCCCTGTGGAACTAAACGCATCTATTGCTTGAAAATTAATGAAAATTGGAGGTAGGACTAATAAGAATTAAGACGATTAGATATGTAATCTTTACAATTGAAAACAAATTTAATGCTTGCGCGCAGGTTATGTTATCTAAGGTTTATCATACCTGTCAGAAGAAAATAATGTTTGTCTCCGAAAGAAATTCGTCACACGTTGTCTAACATTGTTAATCACTGCGCCTTGTATGCAGCACATAAGCTTCAGATTTCGTTCTGAAATATTATGATACCCAGCTTAAAATATATGTCACTTTCATACCAGCGAAATATGCATGAACATATTTAAATTAATTGTGCTATATACGTGTAGAATATTATTATAAGGCCCTCCTCTACGTAAGGTGATCTGAAAAGAGAAATTTCCTGCCTCCATTTCTTATATATTGTAACGTGTCAGGAATCCAGAAGAGACGCTTCTATGGAAACACTAGAATAGACAACGCGATAACAATGGGTCATTGCGTAGGAAACGCGGAACCAACAAAAGCAACGTTTCCACTGCTATAACAGAGGGTTCATTTGCCTAGCAGCGGCCGAGGGGATAAATAGCCCAATATATAGTCTACGAGTAGCTTGATAACTAGTTATGTAATACTACTTCCAAAATGTTTCTTGTGAACTTATGCTAACACCAACCCTTTTATCGGAGCGAAATTACTTCTCCATAACGTGTCTTTAACATGCGTCAATTATAGGTACACAATCTTGACGTTAGAATCAATAATATTATATTTCAGTATCATGTTGCATTGAAGTACGTATCACTCGTGTTTTCAGTTTGTAATGCACCGAATTGAAATTAGATGACATAGAAAGCGGTGCATTTCATACCATAGAGGAATGAATGAATGTATAAGGAAACTTGAGAAGAATTAAATTGTTATTCCGATTAATTGGAGATGCCAACGGCATGGATTTCAATTACTGTATTTCTTTGTTTCAGTCCGATGAAAACATGGCTGCCAAACTACTGCTACTGTGTCTGGGAGTCATTGCCGTGTCCCGTGGACAGCTGGCAAAAGTTTGGAAGCTCTCAGCGCGGGAACTCATCGACTATCGAGCATATCGTGACGTCACCGTTCTACATTTCCGAGTTCCCGAGCAAACACTGACAGCTTCCTTCAATTTTACGGTTTCCGAGAAGCTAATATCGTCCCATTTTTCTTCCGAGTGTGACCCAAGGAGAGTAAGCCTCTTCCTTAAATATGGCAGTTTACCTGTTATCAATCCTGACGGGGCAAAATTCCCAGACAACTTCTCAATCTCAAACCGCGTGCCAGTGTACAACGCAGAGTTCCAGAGCAACGAGGTGCCTGTAATCATCAATGTCACTAGCCCAGTTCCAGGGGACTGGTTTGCGGTCGCTTTTATAAGCTATACCGATCCAAACGACGATCAAATTTTGCAACAGGGGTTAGCCCCGAACTGCGCAGCTCTGGCGGAATGCAGTATGAGTGTCGTCATTGTGGACGATGTCACTGTTGTCGTTCCCGGAGAAGAGATTTCCGGACAACTGGACGGGGATGCTGACTCAAAATATTTTAAATTTTATGTGCCTTCAGGGACATGGATGGTGCGTGTTAACCTTTCTTCCGACCAGTGCGATAGTTCACCTTGTCTCCTCATGTCATATGCTCCAAGAACATTCCCGGATCCCAAAGTTAGCAATGAAAACTGTGAGTCTGGTGTTTCATGCGAGAACGATTTCATTCCAGCTGTGGATAACTGGTATTTTATTACAATATCTGCAACCCACAACATGAGCGCCAGTTCCATCCGTTTCACGCTGATAGTCTCCTTTCTTGCTCATAATTCATCAGAGAAATGGAAACTGGTGAAAACAACGTTACCGCATGTCATGACCGAAGATCAAAATTATGACAGGACGTTATTAATTCAGGATTTCCAAAACTTCTGGAGGTTGGTGCCTCTGACGAGACAATCTTTTTCGTCATTCTTTACATTCAACTTCCTCAGTGAACTTGCTGACGAAAATAAAGGTTTCTTCTCCATAAATGTTAGTGTGGATGAGCTGGCTATGATGCAGTTTGAAGTGAATCATGTAAGCGACATTGGAGGGACACTGACGTTTCAAATGAAGCTTGAAGAAGACTCTAATTTAAAGAACGTCACACAGAGCCTTTACAATGTGTCTGTTGTTGCGTGTCTTAGTTATCAGGCACGTGCCATTCCGCTGTATCCTCAAGACATGTGCCTCGACTATACTGGAGACTTCTCAAAGTCCAAAATCCAGGTGAATTCATCCAGTGAAAGAAATCGTATAGGTAGCATCCACGTGCCTTTCCCCGAACCAGGACTCTGGTTCATAACTTTGAAGCCGTTTTGCTTCAACGACAGTCTTCCAGCAGATTGTACTTCCGACCTGGGCTCTCTGAACGTGTCCCTTATAATTGAATCTAATATGTGTACGGCAGACAACTGTGGGAGGTTTGGGGACTGCTATAATTATATGAGTGGTGGGTTCATTTTCTCCACATGCGTATGTAGGCATGGGTATATCGGTTGGGGTTGCACGGACGATAGCAAGGTCACCTCATTGATGGAATTACTGATCGCAGCGCTGCTTCTTACGATTAGCAATTTGTTCTTCATCCCAGCAATTGTCATGGCAATACGTCAAAAGTATTACACCGAAGCGTTTGTGTATGTATGCACTATGTTCTTTTCAACGTTCTATCACGCCTGTGATGCTGGCGAAGACATTTATTCCTACTGTTTAATGAGACTGAATGTTCTGCAATTTTGTGACTTCTATTCAGCGATTCTGTCTCTGTGGGTGACTCTCATTGCCATGTCGGATATCCGTAATGCTCTCAAGTCCATAGTCCACATGGCAGGTGCCATAGGTATCGCCCTAGGCACGGAGTATAACCGAACCTCCCTTTGGGTGTTGGTAGTACCCGCTCTGATCGGCCTAGCCCTTATGATCCAATCTTGGATGTGGCGTTGCAAAGCTCAGAGGTCATGCTATCCCAGTAAGAAATACTGGAAGTTCTATTTTCCTCCGGGAGTGCTACTAGTCATTGTGGGTCTTGTGTGCTACTCGTTCTTAGAAACGAGACAGAACTATAAGTATGTTCATAGCGCCTGGCATATTATCATGGCGCTAGCGATAATATTTTTGCTCCCATCCAAGAAGCAGCAAAGAGCTGTTGTAGTGAACACCGATGAATCTGCTTGTTTGCCACCACTGACATGCAAACCATCTTGGAAAGATAACAAGATTTTTAAGTTTCTATGTTGGTGCGAACGATGACAGTGGCATTGTGTGTAGTAGTGAGTCGTAACAACATAAAAAGTTCTGTCGACTTGTCTGTTAGAGTGGCAACGCTGACTGCTCGTGGGGGGCATCTGTTCAGCATTATGTGGTACCATTTAATATGTTGTCTTTCTTCCACATTGTCCCCATTTATCATTGTTTTCTGGCTTCATGTGTTATCTTGTTACATCCTACAAATACATGTGTTATGACTTCACTTATAATGATTACATTATCATTAATCCTATAGTTGTAACACGTTACAGTTACTATATTCAGTATAATTAACACCAAAGTCGGTTTTAGAGGAAGAGGACAGTGTTGGATTAGTCATCCTTCACATTCCTCTCCAGTATGAATGAAACGTGAAATAGACGTTACTATACTCCGATATTGAGTACCTTCTTGTGACGACTGGTCCACTAAACGCGAAGCATTTGTCAGTGTTGCTACCATATACAAGTATGAGCAGTCAAGAGATTGGATGTTAAATGCTGTATCTAGAAGTGTCTGGATCACAGTGTCCGAACCTCTTCATATTTCCTATTACCTTATCCGGTTTTCATATGAGATTGTATTGTCCTTACCTGCCTCAGTCCCAATAGATTTATCAGTCAGCTCGTGATTCGTTGTGGTTGTGCCTATATTTGATGTGCTACATGACAGTTGAAGTTATTACAGGAGAATATTGGTACGAAATTTTCAGTTTGCATTAAACAACTTTTTTTTTCATACCTATAATGCTGATGGCAAATAGTAATTTAACTGAATGTTTTCTTTTTATTTTTACGTGCTAAATCAAAAACTACAGGAGCCAACTACACAGTCAACACTTCAGAGAAAAATAAAAAGTAAAAGAAAGCAATACACATACGGAAGAAAAACTAAGGTATTGAAGTAATTGTGCCTACCACCGCGGCGGCCCGGCTTCAAATCCAGGTCTGGTCAAGTGGGATTTGTGGTGGATAAAGTGGCGTTGGGGTAGGTTTTCTCCGTGTACTTCAGTTTCCCCTGCCAATCTTCATTCCACAAAAAATTGTTCATCATCATAATCACCCGGGCAGGTACAGTAGGTCCATCAGTGGCCGCCGTGCCGAATGGATCCAACTGGACTGCACCCCCCGCCCACTATGCGAATTAAGTGTGGTTAAGTTCGCATCCATTTTTAGAAGATTAAATTCCAAAGAGGCTGCGCCATGAAGATGGAAAATACCGATATGAATACATTCCTTTGTAAGAGCACTTCTGAATGCATGAAGGATTTTTTCTGTTTTTTTTTTTATTTTGTACCCTTTCAATCAGAAACATGAACAGTGCACTGTGCTAAATGGGGAACACGATGTTCCTAATTTCGCCCGCACCACCTCTTCCAGAAAGGCAGCGAAAGGCTTAGCAAAAATGGAACATAGACTTTCGTGACGTACACGGAAAGTGAACTTGAGCACTGAATGACCAAAATTACGTTTGGCCAAAAAAAAAAAAGAAGATGGTAGAACAATTTGCACCCTGAGGAAATATATTGTGGAAGAAAAATATCTAAGTGGAAGAAAAATATCTAAGATGAATAACAAATGTCAACAGATGTGAAATTTCAATTTAATTTTTATTGACTTATTACAGATAAATGAAAAATAATGAATATGTCAATCAATATTTATGCTTATGTTTGATAGAGTTAATATTAACGCGTTGTTTAAGAACCTCTAGTCATCTATGCAAAACGCCCGGACGAATTTCTTGTAACCATTCACTCCGGAGCACTCTTCGTGAAACTACTGCTGATATCTGATCTATATTTCTCCACATCTGTCTGTGGATAACAGTTCCTTGCAATATGGACGCTCAGCGTCGTCATGTCTATCATCGTCGCTCTCCCCAAGTCATTGTCAGAGTCTCATGATGACAGTGTTGCTTCTTGTTTCCTCGTTCCTTTGAGCTGTTTAGTTGTTTCATATTTTCCTTTGCCGGTCTGGTTTGGTTTCACTCCACCATCCAGTTTATCGTTGCCCGTTTTCTTCTTGTACTTCGCCGCATTCTTTTCCAAGTCTTCAATCTGTTCTTGAAAGATGACCTTCTTAACAGGACTGCTGCACCACACCGAGATGACCCGCCAGTGCTTTACGGGCTTGGATGAAGCCTGTTCTGAGCTTTGACTTGTGACACCTGATGCAGGCGGCCGGGCTATGTTACTTGGACCAGGCAGAGCATATTCTGTTTCTTCACAGCCACTTGGGTCTTGAATTTCTTGTATGAACTCGGATTCACGGAAAATGTACGTGTTATAGCGGAACAAGCGAGTTCTTCTGAAACCATTCACTGCAACACCTACAGTTGCGGCCTTCAAGTAAGCTTTGCTGAGCAAGCCAGCAGTCTGATAGTGAGTTACAACTCTAGTTGGATTCGTTCTTAGCCACGAATATTTCCTGAGCGTAATATATTTCGAAGGGTAGCATGAACGGAACGTCGGGAGGCTGGATCCTGTGTGGGCAGTGTGCTGAGAAGCACACAATGTGAGAAAAGTGTCCGTCCTGCACGATGACCACTGGATCCTCTTTCATCGGCCTCACATGGCTAAGAAACTGCTGGAAGCACTGCGTGGAGCTTTCAGTCCGTATCCAACCTGATTCATATCATGTTGCAGTTGCGTCGAGAGGAGCCCCTTCTGATAGTTCTGTTTTCATGTTGACTCAAGAAATGTGGCACAAAATGACTGGCAGCGCTCTTGCCTGTGACAACTGTGACGAGTAGACCTCTTTGTGGGGATGGTGATGCTGCAATCTGTCGCTTGCCTTCCAACGAGACCACGCTACACACCTTATGCTGCACCTCTGGTAGGCCGGTCTCGTCACTGTTACAGACGATGTGGAGAGATCAGTGTCTTCAAGCAAGGGCTCATAAATATCGGAGATTTTCAGAACATTCTCTGAAAGAAAACCTTTCGACCTTGCAGCAGCTGTCGGCTGTGGCTTGCGTAGTCGCAGCTGCGAATGTTGGCGCATAAAATTTTGAAACCGTTTGCAACCTGATATTTGTCTATGCTGGAAAATGGTTTGGAAATCCCATTTTCAATTGTTGGTTGGAATGGCAATCACTTGATATCCTTGGTAGTAAAGCCGAAAAACTTTTTCCTTAATGAAACAGTAAGAAACTGACGCATTTTCTAGGTCCTCACGCAAGACAGGCTTCCCGCCATTTCGCATATTGACTATTTTTCCGTACTTTGTTCTATACTCTTAGCTTTGTTTTTTTAAGAGCTGACTTTGACATTTCAAATAATTTGGCCGCTCGTAATAATCCAATTTCCTTGTTCCTAGCGGCCATCATTGCCCTCATTACGTTGTCCTTCCTCGTGTTATGTTTCTTTTGACCCATCTGTAACGATAAATTTGTCTTTATAGAGAAATGATGTAGAACACATAATGAGGCTAATTTAGCACAGTGATAAATTAAGGCACTCTGGGCGAAATTAGGCAGACAACTCCAATAAAATATGACTAATTTTTAAGCCTGTTCAATTGTCGTAATTATTACATGCCTACAGAACTCGAAACTGATTTCTATTTGCAGCGTATCAATCCAATATACTTATTTTCACTACGTATCTTCCAGAAACAGAACGCGCATAATAGTAAGGCTTCAAAAATCTCAGCACGAAAAATAACTTACGACGAATGCACCACCACAATTCACGTTTCCTCTCACTCAACTGACACATATGATTGCTTTTGTATCCTAAAGTATACGTTGCATCAGCCGCAGTCACATTTCAGCACTTAGCAGCAACAGTACCTTGGTGTGCGAAATTACGTACACTTCCCTTGCAGTGTCTAGTATATATTGTGATCTGACGCCTGAAAACCGGAATAGTTTATTGCTAGGCAGCTGCTCGGTAAACACATTCCCGTTGAATGGAATAAGCGCAAAAATAGAAAAGCAGTGTTTTCTCTGGTCAGCGCCGCGCTCGATGCTAAGCAACGGTGTGGTAAACATCTCTGCCGCAATGAATCAACACGCAACCATAGAGGAAGCAGTGTTTTCTATGGGGGCTCCCCGAGGCTATATAACGAGGATCTCTGGCAGCTAGAATTAGAATTGAGAGAGTCTCCGGGGAAGGGAGGTGGAAGAATGAATGAGAATAAATGACAAGAAATGAATTAGGCAGTGCAGTGAAGCCTTCACAGTGTGCTGCAATTACAATGAGACTGGTATAACTACTATGTTGAAATCCGTTGCCAGGATACGACTAGTGAAGATTGAGGACACTAGTGTGTGTAACAGTGAACTGTAAAGTGTGGCAATAGCGATAGCGCTATAATTACTTGTTCCGAGTAGGTGTGTGTAAGGTGTCATTAAATCCAATCATCCAATCAAAAACCCGCCTAACAGTCACACCACCAAAATACGTGACAATATATATAAAACAATTACAAATTTAAAAATATAACTAAATGTAACAAAATACGGTAAATACTAAAATATATATATATTACATAAATTCTAAAAAATACTGACGATGTTAAATTCTTCATTTGCGGCTATGAAACAGCGAACAGAAGGTTATTAATTGCACGAAATCGAAGTGCTAAAAGTCTGAAAGACTCCAGTGATCATTTTTCTGACTGGAGCTCTGACACAACAGCCCCTAAAATAATAACAATAGTGATAAATCAGTTAATATAACTTATCCAATAAACATACTAGAAGCATCTTAATAAGATGGATAGATCAGATATTCTGACGTGGTGAGTCAGATTATGACATATATAATAAATTGTGCAACTCTTTCCGAAAGTCAAATGAGAGGGATATGCGGGAGGTTAATCGTAGATAATAAGCATAAAAATAAGAAAATCGTTCATAAAAACTGAAGTTACGCTTGGCTAAGCTATGCGAAAGAAGTCTATACCTCAACGAGTTTTTTTAAGCAGTCGGTATTACTTAGACGCTGGCAAACGGAACACAGTTCATATAAAAATATCATAATCCTTGTTTATAGTTCCTATACACTTCCATGTATCTCATTCATAAGCTTCAAAATAAATATTCCTGTATTGCTGTATCGTATGCTTGCATAGTACAATGTTGCCAAGCAACACAATATACGTGGCTTTCTTGCCAAAGCCGAACGTATCGCGGTAGCAATATTTTAACTAATCTGCATATTAAATATCTTGGAATAAGAAATTAACATGCTTTATATGTGATGCGTGCTTAACGGTTCACTTCATTTAATATGTAGTGTATTGGTAAACCATTTGAGCGTGAGGAAAACGTCACCGCTTGCAGAAGCAGAACAGGCTGCGCTACTGGGATGAAAATTTATTAAATATCCTTTTGGATATATTTAACTCGGAACAGGATGTCACAATTCTCAAAATATGTCAACATATTTAAAATGAACTTACAGGCTTTTGGTATTACATTATTCATTGAATTCTAGAAACAAGTGTTGAATACTTCTTTTGGCTTATTTTGGACTTCACCCATCGTCTGGTATGTAAAAGACAAAAAGACAAAAAACCACGACGTTTCGGAGACTGGATCTGTCTCCGTCTTCAGGTGGATAGGGAAGGATAAACCTACTCAGTTTGGCCCCTTAGAAAGAGCTAGTCTCAATCACTGGATTATCCTTCCTTATCCACCTGAAGACGGAGACAGATCCAGTCTCCGAAACGTCGTGGTTTTTTGTCTTTTTGTCTTTTACATACCAGACGATGAGTGAAGTCCAAAATAAGCCAAAAGAAGTACAGTATACACCATCGTCAGAATCCTTTCAAGTTTTGAATAACTTATATCCCTCAGAGAAATGAGAAACTTCTTTTAGTCACGAAGCTTCGAGAAGGTCGTTGCCTTGAATCGCTAAAACTATTTAAAAATACCTTCGACATATATTTCAATAACGTGGAACTCTGGTAACAGGACTGTATGCACACCACATAGTCCATGAAGCCGTTTCAGACATGTAAACCAATATA